AGGAATGCTAAGACCAAAAAAGACTCAGCTCTTCCTGCTCAAAATGAGACAGGAAACCGTATCTGTAGGCAGAAGGCAGTTGAAATCCATTAAAACCCATGGACCCGATTATGTAGATCCCACAGGGTAAAGCAGGTATAGCACATGCCTTTGTGTATCCACACAGGAGAGGGGGGGGGGGGGAAAAAAAAAAAAAAAAAAGCATCAGCTTACAAGGAAATCTGTGAATATTTACTGGAGGCAGTACTGCACTATGCAGCTACCAGAATAGATCACAGGTCCTACACAGGAAAAACAGGAGCAGTGCCTGCTTCCACACAGGAGGAGATGGAAAGCATATGTGAATCTATGCACGTGTGCACATCCCCAAGTCCTTGCCAAAGAAACTACAAGCAAATTAGCTGAACGCATAATATGACCTGGATTTAACCCATATCTTTGGCCAAAAATTTCCTTACCGAGGGCTGCTGCGCACTGACTGCTCACCAGCCTGCCCTCCCGAGCGAGTGCATCTCAGAGCCACAGTGTATGAACTCACTAGGAGGAGCTCTGCGATCCTTCTGGGCTGTAAAGACTCAACCTGAATTTCAGAGATTCCTCTTAAGGACCACAGATGATGTCAGGATCATAAATGTACTGACAAAAATGCCTTTTCTCTTACAAGAGAAAAACTTACAGAGTTCTCAGACCTAGCTGTACGACTAACTTATCTCGGGATAATTTGCACCAAATATGGCAAGATGAGGGATTTGGCTCGAGGACCGCACCTAAAATGGGCTTCCAGTCTTAAAAGACTGCACAAACTCCCTCAAAAGCAATGTAACAAAACAACAATTTTAAGAATGGACCCCTTACTCCAAGAAACTCTTCAGTGCTTCCTTGTATTAGCACCTGAGAGAAACTATTTCACAGCCATGCAGAGCTCTTTGGTCTAAACAATTTCAGAGCTGGACTGAGTGAAGGGTGCTGCTCTGGGCAGCACTTCACTTGAGTTGTTCCGTGTTTGGCTCCAGCCCTTCATCATTCACCTCTTCAACCCGTTTGCTGATAGGGGAAACGGATGCCAGGACATACCCGTAACTATAGCACCCACTGGTGCTGAGACAACATGCAGCAGGACTGTGCTGCTGCAAACACAGCACAGGGCACGGAGTTCAGTTAGGTCGGTGTAGATGAGGTGAGGGGTGCTTGTAGAAATTAGGTTTGAAATAGGACGTGCCTAAAATGGGATAAAATGCAGAATGTATTTTATTATGCACAATACTTGTCCAGCAACAACTCAGCCTTGAAAGAGCTGCCGAGAAAGCCTATATTACTTATTGTGCAATTGCAACCATTCAGTCTAACAGACAAAACCATCTCTCTGAAAACATATTTCAAGTATTTTTATTGCTCCTCAGTCTTTATTCATTAGTTCATGCGAAAATGAGAAAGGCACAAGAGGTCACTAACAAACCTGTAATATAACAGCTTAAGCAAGACGTTTGTATCTGTGTTTGCCTGTCATTCCCTTATCTCACGTGCCTGATCCATAAATACGTATTGATTTCACCCAGTACACACAACACTCCCAGCACATTTTGCTCACAATCCAAACTCCAGTTGTGGAGAATTGACATAACTCAGTGGCTGTCTGCCACACTTCACTATTTTCATAACTTCCATTTTATAGCCTCTCTGGAGAGTCAACATCAATATTTCCCCCCCTCCACACTCTCTCTGCTTAAGTTTTGCCAGCTCAGCTCCCAGAGCTTGCAGGTAGTGACCCTGCTGGCCGGTGACGCCCAAAACAGTGAGATTTCTCCTTGATCACTCTTGCACCTGCTCTAACCCTGCCTCCTCTGCTCTCAGATCTCGTCTGGGCAACAGCGTGACTCAGTGCCATAAAACTACCCTT